TATATATATATATATAATATATTGAAATATCTATTTTTAGTTTCTGTACAGGGGAAATAATGTTAGTTTTAGTAATTTAAGTTTGAGTTTATCTGAAAATACAAAAGCAGAAATTATTAATTTGAAATTTTTCAGAGACTAAAAATACAATTGACCATTTTTTTAACTTGCTCTCCATCACTATTCTTTTTCAATGTATTTTTATCTCTTGAAATAAATGTATGTAGAGTTAAATAGGTAAATTTTATTCAAGATTTTTTTCCCAAATAAATCATCACCATAGGTGCACACTCCACTTCTATTATTTCTCTCTAAAAAAAAAACTTCAATTATTTCTTGTTCTAGTTTACCTAAATCGTATATAATATACCTAAACCGTGCGGCTCCTTCTCTGTTCAGCATTTACCTTTAAGTTATTTTAAATCGTTTGTAGGGTGTGATAGAGCAGTTAAGCATTTTTAAATTGAAAACTTTCAAAAATGATATTTTCAACCCACGTTAAGTTATTATAACAAATTTTAAATTGGACAACAGATCTAGATGGATTGTATTTTTGATGAATCTTTGACTTTCAGGTCTCTATGTAATTAGCATTTGCATATTGAATAATTCTATTCCTTCTTAACAAACCTTTTTAATAATCTTTCTAATCACTAGTCACTACTGTGTTTTCATGTTAGCTTTGTTGACTCTCAGCCCATGTAAATTTAGGTAAATCGAAGTTGAAAGGTCAGCGATATTAGTTATTCGTACATCTTAGAGCAATGGAAGGGAATAACATCATATAGAGACACGAATCAGGACTCATCAACACAGCAGGGATAAGTTGCCCAAAGTTAATTATTTCTTCTTATTCGTATTAAGTGTATAGATTAGGAAAAAAAAAATAGATAAAACATTATAATAATTTTATAAAATTAACTATAATTAATCTTATTAACTAAAAATGGTGTAACAAAATAACCTTTTGTAAAATATAATTAAAGGTAAAAATATAAGAGATAAATAATTAATATTATTTTAAAAGTTAAAATGATATTTATTTTGAGAGTTAAATTTTTCCCAACATAGAACAAAGAAAATAGGAAAAATTGCCATAGTTTCTCTTTGAGGTTTATGACATCGTCTTTCCTCCTATTTTATTAGTTGACATTCATCTCTCTTATTTTATAATTTAATCTTCACATATTATCTCCTTTCATAATGTTGATTCACTTGTATGTTAGAGTTTATTCTTTTTCATTTTTTAAACTTTTTCCTACAATTAAAAATATGTATGGGCAACTAATGTCGTATTTTTGTCCTTAGCTTTATTCTATTGTAATGTATTATAAATATAGAAAGAATACCATTTATTAGTGGATTGTACAAAAGTATAAGTGACTAATTATTTTTATGTTAATGAAAATAATATTTTTGGTAGGAATTTTTTTTTATGTTATTGAAGTTAATAAAACTTTAACAAGAAAATTTGAAAAAAGGTAAAGTGTCATATATATTAGAATTTAGATAGAATAAACCGTAATTTTTAACATAAGAAGAAGAAAAAAGATAAGATAATATTCATATCTTAGAGAGTGTAATTTACTCAAAAGTTTTTAATAAAACTAATTAGTGAGCATATAATATACTTTTGTCTTAAATATAGTTTATGCAGTATCCTAAGACCAAAAAATTAATAGCTAATTTGTATTTGTAAGATGTGACTTCTTTTAATCAAATATTATTTTAATAAATGAGTTTTAATAAAATAATTTTTAATATATTTAAACATGGTTTTTAATAAATGGTTGAGTCAAAGAATAATTTTTTTAATAAAACTCTTTATTACGTTCAAAAAGGTAAAAACATTCAAAAATAACTTTTATCCGTCCGTCCATTAAGTATTCACTAGATAAATATATTTTCTTAGTTCCGTGTCAGGTATAAAGGAACTTTAAGACTCAAAAATAATTATCATTTTAACTTTTCTTTGATACTGATTTGGTTTCATTAATACATGCTTTTTACTTCTTTGAACGTAATGTATTAAAAATTATTGTTGAAAATCAAATTATTGCTTTTAATAATCAACGAGCAAAAGTCTTCTTTTTAATAAAAAAAACACAATAATTTGGTTTTGAATTATACCATTTTATTCTTTTGAAACGAAATAAACGATTTTAATAAAAGCAATAATTGTTTTCTCAGCATTAATTCCATGCATGATTTTATCTCCATTCGCATTTAATATTTACAAGTTGATTTGTCATAAAAATTTTAGGAGATTGCATAGTATTTTAATTTATTTGTTAAGGTTTTTTATCAATTAAAAATATTTTTTTAATGAAATATATTGTTTTTACCTTTTTATCATGTTTGTCAAAACTTTTGTTTTATTTAAAAAGAATTTTTATTTTTTAAATAATTCTTATCTTTCTGTTAAAAAATTAATTTTTTTATAATCACTTTTTTTTTTAATGTAACTCCTTGTGGGTGTGATTTTAACCCTTTGTTGAGTGTTAATCTTTCATTGCAAGAAATGCATATAAGTAATTGAGTTTTACATGTTTAAACTATCAAATCAAATCACTTTTCTATAATTATTAGTCAATAAATTTATTATATATGAAGAGTTTTAAAAAGGTGATGATGTAATTTTTTATATTCTAAGTACTTATGTTATTTATTTAAATTATTATAATGTAAAGATAATGGCATACGAGTAAATTGTTCTTATGATCAACACAAAGTGGAGAAAAAAATCATGGACCAAACGTATCCTGCAGGTTTGGACTTTATTTGATGTTTCTTGGACTGCCTTTATATATATTGTTTTTGTAAATACTAGTGGGTAAAGATATTTTATGTTTTATATTTTTATTTAATAAAAATATTTAAAAATTATAAATTAGTGTTAGATTTGATCTTTAAAATTGAAATTTGAATCACAAGAGTAATTAATTTTTAATATTATTTTTTATTATTTAAAAATTAAAAGATAAAGTGATTAAAAAAATTGTGTATATCAAATGTAACTAAGTTTTGATTTTTATATAAGTTACATGTATTTGTTGGCTTAATAAAAGAGTGAGTTATATACATAAATTTGTTTGGGTTTTGAAAATTATTGGAAAGTCGAAGAAGTCCGAGGTCACAGGTAGACCTGGTCTTCCATTTGCTGCGATACTCTGTCACTGTTCTGAAACCGCGTATTGCCTTTTATTTTGGTTTCGGAAATTGTCATTAAAACCTCATTCTCTTCCTAATCACTTCCACCATGACATGTGATATGATATGATATGATATGGCACCCTTTCCCCTTAACCTCCTTATTCTCCTCTTTTCTCTTCCATCCATTTACACACTCTCTACCGTTTCCATTTCTCAAACTTCCAATTCCACCCAAACACTTATTTGTGTCCTGCAACACCCAAACCAACAAGCACAATCAAATCTCAACTGCACCACCTTTCCTCAGACTCAGCCTATTACGCTTCAACTCAATCATAATGTTTCCTACTCTCAGATTGTGGGGGGCGACGGCTATGTATGTGCTTTAGGGCCATCATCTTCTTCCACCTCCATCATGGGCTGTTGGAGATTCTCTTCCAATGCTACCAATGTTCCCTATAAGCGAATCTACCATGGACCCCTTGTTCAACAAATTGACGGTGGCAATTCACACGTTTGTGGCCTTGTTAACAATAGTCTTAGTCTTGGTCTTGGCCTTGAGTGTTGGCAATGGCATGGCTTCAATTCAAGCACTGCCAGGGACATGTCAATGACCATGGCAAGCGTTGCCGTGGGAGAGGATTTTGTATGTGTGTTATCACAGAGAGGGGAAGTTAATTGCACAGGCACGAGTAGTAGTAGTGTTATTGTTGATGTGCCTGCGCATGGTGGGAATTACACTTTTGTAGCAGCAGGGTTTAGGCATGCCTGCGCCATCTCTTTTGATGGTAGCTTGCATTGTTGGGGAGACATGGAGGGTGAAATACCACAAGGGAGATTCTTTTCTTTGGCGTTGGGAGAGAACCGAAGCTGTGCCCTTGGGTATGACAGAATAGTTCTATGTTGGGGGTCCAATAATTTCATCATGCCACCCAGATTGCAAGACACTTTCTTTGAATCAATTGTGGCAAAGAGAAGTGTTTTCTGTGGTGTTGTGTCTTCTAACAATTCCTTGCTTTGTTGGGGTTCCGAATTTTTTGAGTCAAACGCGAAGGTGTTTGACGATGTCCTTCCAGGGCCTTGTAGGAGCCAGTGTCCGTGTGGGCCCTTGCTAAATTCAGCCAAACTATGTCCCTCTCCTGACATCATTTGCCAACCCTGTTCCCCCCAAGTGGCTCAATCTCCACCACAACCACCAAATAATAACACAGGTTGGAGCAGAAAAATGGTGGCATTTCTGGTGGTTGGATGTGTTGGTTGCAGTTCCCTATTGCTAGTCATGGCTTTCTTCCTTTACAGATACTGCAACTCCAACCGCAGAGCAAGCCGTGTCCATGATTCTGACAGGTTGGATGGGTCTCAACCTGTATCTCGTGTTCTTCAGAAGCGTTTGAGCCATGTGATCAGCATGGGAAATGGAAGCCCTTTGGAGGAGTTTTCTCTAGAGACACTGCTCCAAGTCACCGACAATTTCTCTGAGGACAAGAGAATCGGAATTGGCAGCTTCGGTTCAGTGTATTACGCAACTTTAGAGGATGGAAAAGAGGTTGCTATAAAAAGAGCGGAAGCCTCATCCTCCTCCTACGCAGTTTTGGGTGGCCAAGTGGACAAAGACAATGCCTTTGTGAATGAGCTTGAATCTCTCTCAAGACTCCACCACAAGAACCTTGTACGCTTGCTGGGGTTCTATGAAGACACCAAAGAACGCATTTTGGTTTACGAGTACATGAACAACGGCAGCCTCACTGATCATCTTCACAAGCTTCAAACTTCAGCTCTTATGTCATGGCCAATGCGCATCAAAGTGGCTCTAGACGCAGCTAGAGGCATAGAGTATCTACATCGATATGCCAACCCACCAATTATTCACCGTGACATCAAATCTGCCAACATATTATTGGATGCCAAGTGGACTGCCAAAGTCTCTGATTTTGGACTCTCATTAATGGGCCCTGACCCAGAAGACGAGGAGGCCCACCTTTCTCTTCTGGCTGCTGGCACTGTTGGCTACATGGACCCTGAGTACTATAGGCTTCAGCATTTGACCTCCAAGAGTGATGTCTATAGTTTTGGTGTGGTTTTGTTAGAGTTGCTCTCTGGCTACAAAGCCATTCATAAAAACGAAAATGGGGTGCCAAGAAATGTGGTTGATTTTGTGGTGCCATTCATTGTTCAAGATGAGGTTCACAGGGTTTTGGACACAAGAGTTCCCCCACCCACACCTTTTGAGATAGAGGCTGTGGCGTTTGTGGCTTATTTGGCAACAGATTGTGTTAGACTAGAAGGAAGAGATAGACCAAGTATGTCTCAAGTTGTAAATAACTTGGAAAGAGCATTGGCTGCATGTTTAGCCCAACCAATACTCTCAAGCTCCAACACTCATTCTTCACAATAGCTTACACCATATTTCCTTTTCCCTTACGCGTTCAGCTTCAGTTCCCTCGATTCTGAAACAGTCAAAGTCTTGTACATTAGACCACTTTTCTATCTTCATTTTTAAAAAACTAATTTCGACGTCACACCTCACACGAGACGATTCAATTATACTAACCCGGTCTAATTTGTATTTGATGACGCCAACAAGTGTATCATACATTGACAATTTGGTTCTCAACCAACAAGCATAGAAAAATATACACCGTGTAATCGGTTGAATCAATGTGCATTTTAAGCAAATCACACGATTCACACCTCTACTTTTCTTTTTTTATACACTACTCGCTACTAGGTCAATGTTTCGTTTCTGTCTTCACGAGACAAAGTCAAATAGACGGATTTTTCTTTTTAAATTGGAGACTAGTAGCATGGTCTTAGGATATGTAACAAACCAAAATACGTGTGCTTTTCAACTTCAATCTTCAGATTTATTGTTGACATGTGGTTCATGTGTAGACTGCTTTCATTTATAATTTTAACAATTCACATGACAAAAGAAACCACCGATTTGCAGCTTTTGTAGAAGAAATGGGAAGCAAAAGCAAAATGTTTTAAGTTTCAAACTTTAAAATATTCTTTACCAAACCTTGTACCAGCAACCCGAGCAACAATTGGAACAACTGGTATAAACTATAAAGTTGGTAAAAAATATTTGAATCAAAAGATTGGAGTTTTAAAAATATACAACCGAACAGATAAGAAAGTATCTCGAGTGCATTTTAGGCAATAATTTGAATAAATAATCGGCTTGAAAAATCAAGTATATAAAGAAAAAGAAAAGGTGAAAATAGCTCGGACAGTATAATATACTGCAAGATACCTAAACACGCAAAGCAATAAAAGAGCAAAAAAGAAAAGGGTTTGGATAACAACACTTTAGGAAGGCATAATTATCATATGAATGTCGGCTAGGTTGCGAAAGTGCTTCTCAATTGGGAAATATAATTCAGTGGAACTTGTAAGCTTTACATTAGCTTTGAAAAGAAACCCATTAGAGAAGGGGAAAATATTTTAGTCTATGAATATTATGATTCAGACAAATCCCTGCATGACACATAAGTTGCCACTGGATTTTTAACTCTTTCTTGTAAATTGAAAATCTGTCATATAGTATGGTTTCATGCAATAATTTCCCCTACAAAAGGGTCTTTGTGTCTTTTTCAAGTCGGCATAGTGGAGATTTCAATGTGCAAGGTTCGGCATCAATTAGCATCTTGACAACCTCTCTCATGGTGGGGCGCAAGGTTGGAAGCTTAGTGGTGCACTTAATAGCAATCTTCAACACTTTCATCATATCTTCAAAAGAATCAGATGCCACTCTTCCATCAAGAATGTTGAGAATGCTTTCACGGTCATTGAGATGAGTCAAAACCCAATAAACAATATCCTTCGCCTCTCCATAATCCTCTTCAATGGGTTCTCTGCCAGACACTAATTCTAGTAGCACCACTCCAAAGCTATAAACATCACTCTTTTCAGTGATGTCAGTGGCATAAGCAAGTTCTGCATGGAAGAGCGCAATATATAATCAAGTATATCTGAGAGTAAATTTGGAAGGCAATTAAAAATTCTACATAAGAGACACACATTGTCGCACACAAATGTATTCAGCAGATTGTTTGATATATTTCACAATTCACATACAATTACCAAATTCATTTGAAACTTACCTGGAGCAATGTAACCAAGTGTGCCGGCTAGACAGCTATAACCCAACTGCTTATCAGATTTTTCTGCAAACCTTGCAATACCAAAATCAGCAATTTTTGGCTCATAATCCTCATCAAGCAAAATGTTGCTGGATTTAATATCCCTGTGAATAATAGGTGGATTACAGTCGTGGTGTAAATAAGCAATTCCTTTGGCAGCTCCCAGAGCAATTTTATACCTCTGGTTCCAATCCAAGTCTGGCTTCCCATCTTTTATCTGTCTGTGAAGCGCTTGAAAAAGATTGCCATTTGGCATGTACTCAAACACTAAAAGGTTGGATCCTCCTTTAAGTAAACAAGCATAGAGTTTGAGTATATTTTTATGCCTAATTTTCCCCAAAATCTCCATCTCTGCAGCTAAAATTTTCACACCATCTACCTTCCCTAGTTGCTTGACAGCCACCATGGCTCCAATCTTCCTCAACTCCACTCGATAAACCTTTCCTGTACCACCACTACCTATCAAATTATCTTCTTTCAGATTACATATTTCATCGGCATCAATATCTACTTGGTGGAAAGATGCAAGTTTCCATTTTTGACTTACTTCCTTTTGACCTTGCAAGTTTTTATCCTTACCATGCTTGAGGTTTCTACAACTCAAAAGCAGCAACCCAGCTAAAACAACAACAAAAACAGAAGGAACAAAAAAGAGCAAGACAAATTTATCAGCAGAGACCCTTGTCTGACTATGATTTTTGGCACAAATCTTCAGATCAAAATTCATGGAAGGTTTTAGGTTTTCCTCAACACACAACCCCTTGTTTCCCAGAAAAGCTTTCTCTCCTCCAACAATAAAAAGACCAGATGGAATTCTTCCAGAAAGCAGGTTTTCAGAAAAATCCACTGAGCTTAGCTTTATTGCCTCTAAATTATCTGGAATAGAACCTGTAAGTTTGTTTCCAGATATGTTAAGAGAGTTCAATGAGCTCATTAGTGAAACTGACTGGGGGATATTTCCAGATAGAGAATTCCAAGCAAGATTCAAGTCCACAAGCCTTGTACAATGACCCAGTTCTGCAGGTATCAATCCGGTTAACAAATTCTCTTCTAGATGCAAAGAGGATAACTGCTTCAGTGATCCTATTTCAGGTGGTATTTCTCCAGAGAAATTGTTGTTGCTCAAGTAAAGCTTCTCCAAGTTCACCAGCTTGCCAAGCTCTGATGGGAGCTTACCTGAAAACCTGTTCTGTATCAAAACTATCTGACTTAAGCTAGTAGACAACCCAATTTCTGAAGGTACCATGCCAGTGAAATCATTATAGGCCAAATCAATTATTTTTACATATGGAAGTGCCCAAACCTCATCTGGAATTTTCCCAGATAAGCGGTTCATACTGATCCTAAACCTCTCCAGCGATTTGCATGTGACATAAGACTCCGGAAAAGTCCCTGAAAAATTGTTCTGCAATGCAAGCAAAAATCTCAACTTCCTGGTTTCACACAAGAACTTTGGGAAATCACCTGAGAATTGATTCTCAGATATGTCAATACTTTCAAGTGGTGAAAACCGACCAAAATTTTCTGGTATCGTCCCAGTGAAGCTGTTTCTATAAATTGAGAACCCAATGAGATGACGCATATCTGCAAATCCAGCAGGAAGTTCCCCAGAAAAGTTGTTTTCATATAGTTGAAAAACAACCAAATTCTTCATATTACCAATTTCCTCTGGCAACCTACCATACATGTTGTTTGCAGAAAGATCAATCTCCCGCAGATTGGTGAGGTTTGCAAGCTCAACTGGAACCTCTCCTGTCAAATTATTTGAGAAGAGCTCAATCTTGTAAAGATTCTCTAACTTGGAAATTGATCTGGAGAGTCTGCCAGAGATCTTGTTTCTTGAGATATCCAGTGTCTCCAATGCCTTCATTTCATATATTGATTCTGGAATCTCTCCTATCAAATGGGAGCCACCAAGATAGAGCCAGGTCAAGTTCTTCAGATTTCCAAGAGTCTGTGGAATCTCACCCTCATTATAATCATTTACCCCAAGACCCAGTGAAACCAGTCCAGTTAGATTCCCCACCCAGCCTGGGATGCTGCCAGAAAAGTAGTTTGCTGAAAGGTCAAGAACCTTCAGGTTTCTCAGCCCTGACAAGTCTGGGATTGCTCCAACCAATTGATTTCCTGTCAGATTCAACACTCTGAGGTTGGTCCACATGCTTATTTCTGATGGGAGCTTTCCAGAAATTAGATTGGATGGGAGTGATAGAACTTGGAGGCTCTGAAGAACTGAAAGTGATGGGAAAATGTCACCGGAGAGGGATTTATTCTCCAGTGAAATTTCTGTAACTCTCCCAGAAACTGGATCACATGCAATTCCATAGAACTGACATGGAGAGTCTGATTCATTCCATGAAACCAAAGAATTGAAGGAGTCCTTCAAATGGTTCTTAAACTGTAGAAGAGCTTGGGTTTCCAACGTCAGAGACACACAAGGCGGGAAAATAGAATAGGAAGTGAGTAACAGCGTAGCCAAGAACTGGAAAAAGTGAAAAGGACAGGGACTCTTGGCCATTAGGACACGATTCAGGGACAAAGTTGTCAGTTCAGAAGAGAAATAGAATCATTAGAATGCCAGCAAGGTGGATGATTTTTGAACTTTGGTGATCAATAAACCATTATTGAAGGGACCATCCTGGAAGCAGCTGATCATGGAACAAAATCATTCACTGACATTAAATTATAAACAAGCTATACATTATTAAATAACCCAAAGGAAAAGCAACATGGTGATGTCAGAGAAAAAATGTGGTGACGTTGGAACGTCAATTTTGTTTCTATCTGTGGAGAATTATTACACTGTCATTACTATGATTCTAATCAAAGAATTGAAGAAAGAGATAATGCTTTGAAGTCACTCATTCGCATCTTTGGCACAAAAGAGGTTCTAATCTAATTTGCTCTGAAAGCAAAGCACGCATAATATCATTATGGCCGAGTATACTTCTTCTCTTTTAATCATGAGTAACTATTACTAACAACAACCCTGGACATCAGAATGAAATTTAACCTTTTTATTTTATTTTTATTTTGAGAACACCTAATCAATCACAAGGTAGTACCTAGAAAAGTAGCTTTTCAATTGGAGTTAAGTTAAAATTGTTACAACTTCAACATGAAGAAACATCCTTCTGCTCTTTTTCAATCATCATTATTTTCCAAACTCAAAACAAAAGAATATAATAAGAAAGTGAATCAAAGAATGAAAGAACAAGAATGTTTATCTCAGTAGCAAGGATTAAAATTGTCGTGAAAAAAAGGATCTGATACCTGATATATTTTTGAGTGGACGTATAGCAATTATGGTGGATCTGTGGAGTGAGAATTCTATCAAGCAAATTGTGGGTAGGGATAGAAGGAGAGTTGTTTAATGGGATCTTTTGGGAAATGCATGGAATGGAAAGAGAGCTGAGAACAAAATGGAATTGACAGTGCCATAGTGTTGCATTGGAAGTTTCTAAAGGGTGAATTGTGTACAAGATTGAGGAAAATTGAAAGACGGAACTGTTAGTGGACCAGAAATGGACATATGCAAGAGAGAGTGAGCACGAGCACGAGCACTAGCACCTAGTAGTGGGAGACACAGACAGAAACAGAATACTTTCCAGAAACATTTAAGGTTCCCTTGAAATTGAAACAAGGTAAAAGCTAAAGAGGAAAAGGTAGGGAGGGATAGCTTAAGTTTGACACTATTTAAATGCTTTGCATAATGTCAAGGATTGAACCAGTGATTGAGGATTGGAGTGGTATGGGGCAATTCAAAAATGCTTTAGAGATTAGCATTAGAAGGTGCTATTCTCATACTTCCCTCAACGCTGGTAGTGGATGTATGGACCACTATAAAGAAAACACAAGTACACCCATTTTACCACCACCAATTCAATTTCTCTTTTTCATTTCACTGCAGCAAATATCAATACCAACTTTTTCCACGAATCAATTCCTATATTACTCGATCAATAGTGATCCAGCTTCCACGTACGTAAATACACAGTCATTTCACAGAAACTCGATTTTCATTTTATCCACGTATTTCTCATAGATAGGACTGACACATTTATCCATCAATTTTTAAAATTGGTAAATATCAATCAAACGACATCGAGCTGGAAATGAAATGTCAGTTTTTAGCACGTACCCCTCTATTTTTGTCATCTACTGCCACCGGTAAGTATTTTGAACTTTGACAGAGTTTGGATAAGATGAAAATTCTTGGTTAGCTTTCAAAAGAATATTTCTTCCAAGTAAGAAAAAGAAAATATTTTTTTATAGCAAAAACGTATTTTCCTTGAAAATTATTGAGGAATATAGAAACATTATTCGATATTAAAAATTATCTGATTAAAAAAGAATGGATTTTTATAGCCCGAGCCCTGAGGTGTTGGTGGCCTCTTATTTCTTCATTTCTTCTATAATCATTGCAAGTAAAAAAACGGCACTGCAGTTCTAAATATAAGTTGATTTTGTAGCTGATTCTGTTTAGAATTAAAATGAAATTAACAGTAACGTAGAGAAATTGTTTTTGTATAAAGCTATTAGGCTTTTGGTATTCCGACGAACTCTTGAATCAGATGCTCTACTATTTTTCTTGATGTAATCTTATCGATCTCATACGCTTTCATCTCATTTTTCAGACCTGCGAGTGAGACGCAAATCAGTACCAAGCATTGCATGTAATGAAAAAGTGTTTTTAAAATTATTTCATATTAACTATTTTGAAAGTTAAACAAAATACTAAAAATAAAAATTGATGAATTTGTTCAATTTTAAAGATATTAAATTCACACAAAATCGTATATGTCTCAATTAAAATTAAAGGAATAAAATACGATGAAGCCTTTTATGATTCAAAAAGCTAAAACCAACCTGGAAAGTGCAAACTTTTGAGTGGCAGACGGGAAGCATTGAAATCGAAGAAAAAGAGCAAACTCTCCAATAGCTTTGCAGATTCCGAAGATATTAAAACTTCTCTCTATGTATGTTCAGTAAATAACCCAATGTTAATACAAATACTAAAGTTAAATTTAATTAGTAGAAAAAATCGTGGATAAAATTTCGGACTAAGCGAGATTATTACATATTGAAGCTAAATTAATTATGTATTATCAGGTAATGTTATAAAAAAAAGTACAATAATTAAAGATAATCACAATTAGCAGAAAAAATATCGTAAAAATTACTAATGTTTACCCTAAATTAATTATGTCATTGAGAAGCAAAAGTTGATTTTATTGCTAGATAAAAAGAGGGGGGAAAAACATTAAGAGTGGTTCTATAATTCATACCATGATAAAACTTATTTGATCACATGGATAAGGTTACAAATATCCTATATCTGAAACTCTGCTAAATCCATCAATGTCACACTAATGGGAATTATTCAGTTTGTCACCTTTTACTGAAAGTTCAATTATTTTTATTTTTTGATGGATTCCTTTCATTGAAAGTTAATATCATTACTTAAAACATGTCACCTATACTTGAACACTAATTCACTCTACTTTCTTATGCCAAGTCCAAAGGGGCAATTAACAATCCACTAAATATGTTTATGCATCGTCAATTTAGGTCACATAAAAGTAAATAGTCTTTCACCTTTTTCGACCTCTTCCGTGTTTTTCAATTTTCACGAGAATTTTACTATTAAAAGTATTTGTTATTATTATTGTGTGACGGTGATGATATATATAAAATAAAGATGATGAAGTGTAGTTGTTTACATTATCTAATATATTTGGCTTCCTCATATAAGATGGAAATTCTGATTCTAAATGAATTTAGAGTTTGATTAGCATGGAAACTAGGAACAAACCTTGAAGTTCTTTTCATCATTGTAATACCCCGAAACGACAATAAGTGCTCGAAGTTTCTCCGATACTGAGCACAATAAAAATAAAAAGGGGTTAATTGAAACTTGGAAGTAAGAAATGCGTATAATTATCAAGCATATGGATTCCGAAACAAAATGGAAAGTTTTAAAGTAGTTCAATAATGGAGGTTTTATCTGAGACTCACACTGAAAGAACTTAATTTCTTGTGCTAGATTTTGAGCATGAGAAAGAAGCTGTCCAATTGAAATTCCGATACAACTCATGCCAATTTGCTCTGATCTTGAATCCGGACTTTCTGGTCCACAAAAAATTAAAATTTATATTACAATGGTATTGGGAGATATAATCAATCATTAATAACAGTAAAAATCAAACATTAGTCTTAGATGAGTTTAAATTTTGAAATTAGACCCAATATTTTTTTTTTAAAAAAAAGAAGTTGAATTTTTAATTCCTTTTAATATATAATATTATTCTTTTAAAAAATAAAAGTTAAATTATTTTATATTCATAATAAAATTGTTTATTTTTAAAATATATTTTAATTTAAATTTGTACTTCTTTGATTCTACACTAATACATAATGTTGGAATTAATATAATGGTATAAAGTTTGATTCACTCAATTTTATTTCATATATTTTGAATCTTAATAATTATATATATAAAAATGGAATAAAAATTTGGATAACTCGCCATGCTCACCCCTAATACGTGGGAATCACATATATAATAGGGTGTGAAAGAGTAATTTGGCCACACTGAAAAAATTTATTTACTTATTAAGTTTTTTATTATATATATATAAATTAATTTATGTATTAAATGGACTAAATATTTGTTTTATATAATATTTTTTAATAAATTAATATTTTTATTAAATAAATTATATTTTAATTAAAATTTATAATATATATATATATATATTTTTTTTTTAATATATAAATCATATTTTGGATGTATAATAAATATTTTAAAATGTGATGTAAGATTATTTGTAATTGTTAAAAATTATTGAAAGATGGTAAAAAAAATATTGAAAAGAGAATCGTCATTGGTCAGTTGCTAGAGTATGTAAAATGTATGTCCAAGAAGAAGAAAAAAAAATTAAAAATATCTAATTAAGAAGGTTAAAATCTTTATTTGGTTCCTTATAATATTTTTTTATTTCAATTTAGTCCCACTTTAATTTTTTATTTTAATTTGGTCCCCAATAATTTAAATTATTGCAATTTGGGACTTCCGTCCAAATGATTTAAACGGAACTAACTGTTGGCCACGTGGATGTCAGGTGGATGCCACGTAGATGCATGCCAAATTTCTTGAATACACCTAAACCAGAACGACCCGTTCTAAAACCAGAACGGCCCGTTTAAAGCAGAACGGGACGTTCTGATTCCAGGTGTATTTGAAATTTGGCATCTACCTATGCATCTACGTACATCCACGTGACTAACAGTTAACTACGTTTAAATCATTTGGATGGAAGTTTCAAATTGCAATAATTTAAATTGTTGAGGAACAAATTGAAACAAAAAATTAAAATAGGACTAAATTGAAACAAAAAATATTATAAGGGATCAAATAAGAGTTTTAACCAATTAAGAAAGTGTGGAAAATTCACTCTCCACATAGCTCTAATTTATAATGTAATAAATAATAATACATGAGAGGATTACAATTACCATAAGAAATAATAAGTGATGTTACAATTTTTTAAAATTTAAATGCTTAGACTTTTTCTGTGCTTCATCCTTTTGCTTTGTCATGTTCTAACATAATACATTACCATCAACCCACGTCCAAAAGCAAATGTGAAACGCTTGTAATTCTAATTAGGGTCATCATCCCAATTACAATCACAATATTAAAAATTTTACAATTTTCATCTTAGAATTGCAATTATAGTTATATTAATTTATTCATCAATATTGCATAATCAATTTATAAAATAAGAATTACTTTTTATTTATATATTATTTTATTATATTTTTAATTGATGTAAGATATATGACAAGGGAGGTGAAGCATGAGGCACATAGATGAAATATCATTATATTTTTGTATTATGCAGTTGGATCTAGCGGTGTCACTGGTATATAAGCGAAATTCACCTTTAATAAAATGTAAAAGACAATACCTTGTCCTGTCCACTTCTTAAAATCTCTTCTCAAGATATCCGCTACTTGGAGGGAGGAAAGATCATGCATTTTGTACCTCACTGAAACATCACAAACACTTACATAACTAAATCATACAAAATAAAAATGCATATAACTGGTACACGTATTGTTTGCTGCATTTAATCACTTAAAAGAAAAACTGAATAGCAATCAAAATTTGCATGTGCTACAAAACTAAATCGATAAAAAAAAAAATGGTGTGGGACATACATAATTGGTAAAGGCCATTGCATCCATAACGACCAGCACCATTTATCAATAGTGAAGCCATGTACTTATCTTTTGAGGTGCATCGAGGGTCCCTTAGATTGGCAGTATCCAAAAGGATGCCAGCTAGCTGCAACATTTATAAGCACCAAAGATAAGACGAAGGTTTATTTTATTTGTTTTTATGGTATACATAACTAATATGATGGGCAGAACGCCCCCCAAAAAACAGAAAAAATAAATAAATTTTAAGTGAATAGCTTGGGGTATGGCCATAGGCTACCCCACTAAAATCAGCAAGAATCATACTAGAAAGTTAGAATCAGGAAAAACAACAGTAAGAAGGCCAATACAACTGCAATTAACTTTTTTTTTTTTATCTTTCAAAAAAAAAAAAAAGTTTCCATAATCTTAGAAATCAGAATAACATATCAGAACTGATGGCAAAAGAACCTACAGAGCAAAACCATTGTCAAGGGATTTCATTTTCCACAGTAACAGATGGTGAAAAGTTCCAGACAAGTACTGGTTATAAAAAAATTCTCTCATCATACCTATCTAACAAGAAATGTAGTGTCACTGTAAAGGGTTCAAATTTTTATGACATATTTTTAAGTTTCTAGTCCAATGCAAAATCTAAATAACGTGGAGGAGAAATAGAGAA